GTCTAAAACGACGTACCTTGTCTTGTTTACCGAACAGCTTTGTTTCATGCTTCCCTAACGGTGAAAGTCGTAAATTATGTGGAACCTACTATCTGGATTAAGAATGTGTTGAGGTGTTTTATTTCAAAAGATAAGCAATGTTTAGGCACTTCTACCGCCGCCGACGAGTAAGCGATTATTTTCTAACGACTATTTTCTCGCTCAAGAGGCGGACAATAGATATAGATCCTGGGTCAATAAAAGAGATGCACATTATATATTAATAGTTGATCGCTAGCTGTTCACAGTTCACACTGCCGGCGTGAACTCTCTCCCTACTAGTTTGTCGCAGCGACAAGGTCTATCAAAGATAAAACTCGCTCAGCGATGTTCGTTTGGCGGTCAGAACTCACGGTAAGTTGCAACTGCGGTGTGCTGGGTAGACATCTACATTTATCCTCAATTAAGAATCAACACGTAAAATGCGTTATCATACCTGAGGACTAAGATAAAATGCCTTTTATTCAGTAAAATGGGTATCACGTTCTCTACACTCAACATACGACACACAGCGGCATTGAGCTGCTATTTTACACTGGTAATGTTGAAATAAATGCCATAAGTTGAACTAAGGTTATTTGCATGCCATACATAAAAAAACATTTTTAAATTTTTTGTCTGCCTGGCTAATCTTCGAAATAGCTGAACCCTTTCTACTGGACACGAAGCATGCCATCTTAGTCCTCATGTGTGATAATATAAAATTAAAAATTTTGTACAGCCGACTTCAATATAAGTTATTAAGAATAACTCAAAAACTATTGGTCTGACCTTGGTCAAATTCATATGGGACCACACGAGAAGTACCAGCTTTCAAATAAAAAAAGAAATCGGTTCACCCAGTAAAAAATTATGAGGTAACACACATTAAAAAAAACATACAGTCGAATTGAGTACCGTCTCCTTTTTGAAAGTGCAGAAAACGCATCTGCATTTCGATTTTTAATCGAGGATAATTGTAGATGTTTATGGGCCACAGCATCCACTTACCATCAAGTGGACTGTACGCTTGTTTGTCACCCTTATTCTATAACAAAATATGATAATACAATGCTATTTGTATGTGTATAGATTTCTAAACTAAAGATCTTATGACATTTATTTTTATTTCCTCTGATTCAAGGAAGATGATCCACTTTAAAACCTAGTAATGAAAGTTTTATCATATTTACAGAAATCTAATGTTCAATATTAATAAACTTCAAAATTGTTGGTTCATTAACCCCACGTGTTGTTAGTGAAGAAGGTAAAGCCAAGCGACGATAACATATTTGATATTTGATAAAATTTCTACATAAAAAAAGAAATTTGCGGCGGCCATCTTGTCCTGTAGATGTCGTTGAACTAGACAGTCGAGAGGTTAATTCATTAGATGAAAACTGTATCTATTGAAACTTAGATCACCCACGGCAAATTTTCTACATAGTAGTATCGCGTAAGTTATAATGTCCTCCAGACCGAATTTCAGTCACGCATCTGCGCAGGAAAGGATTATACTGCAACAGTACGTAGCGAGTGCACAAGTGCACTCTCTATTCTCTTACTCTCATAATCCAATGGGACGACTATTTGACACGACTAAACTCTGACTTCGGGCTGCTAAGAATTTCCTGTATAACACAATAACTATTTCCAATTTGTTTTGTGCAACATTATATAATATGATTGTAAGCTGTTCTTTTTTCAAAAAAAAAATTCGCTGCGTTTCTTGCTGGTTCTTCAAAGAAAGTTTTATATTTAAAGGTTTTAAAAAAAGAATAGAGGTATTTTCCGAATCAGTCGTAAATTAAACATACGACTCATAAGAATGACTTTCAATAAGTATTTTTTATATTCTATGTTGAATTAAATGTTTCTATTTTTAATGATCAGTGGTCGCCACGACCACTAGAACGACGATGCAGTCACGTAAGCATATGCAGGAAAGATCAGATCATTAATTGACAAATGATGGACAAAGTACAAACGTTAAAAATAGAAGTTACAATTTGTATTCACAGTACATACCTATTTGAGATAATAAATCCATCTATACATATAAATAAAATTGAAGTATCTGTCTGTTATATCGAAATAGCTGCATTATTGGGCTGAGGGGGTTATTTATATGCCATTTGTCTCTCTGTCGATACGGGCTAACCTTCGGAATGGCTGAAGCGAATGTAATAACACTCCAGGGACAGATAGTGCAATGTTAAGAATGATCAAGCCTAGATATATTTTATACGAAAAACTTAAAAATTATTGAAACAAATAGTGGACTAGCCTAAGTCTAAATAACGCCACATTAATAGATCCTAACCAGGGGAAGGTTAAGCGGGTCGCTAGTAGTAGGGACATATAGGTAAATAAAATTGCAGTGTCTGCTGTAATACTGAAGTAACTGGCTTCAATTAAGGTCAGGGGGTTATTTGCATGCTATTAAGACATAAATAACCATTTTTTAACAATGATTTGTTTCTATTTACACGAATAAGTACTTGACTACTTTTACAGATATATATCTATACAAATAAATAAAATTGAAGTGTCTGTTTGTAATATCAAAATAACAGCTTTTTACTAAATACATATGAAAGTGTATACGGTAGGTACTTAAAACAAAAACACAATTTTTAAAATTTTTGTCTGTCTGTCTGTCCGTCTGTCTGTCTGTTTGTTCCGGAAGTGTAAAGTCTAATCTCTGAAGGTACTGGACGAATTTCGACGGGACTTTCCCTAGCAGATCGCTGATGTTACGAGGCTACTTTTATTTTAGAAAAACAATTAGGGTTCTGCGCAAAGAAATTAAAACCATAAATTTTAATTTCTTTGAAATTTTTATTTTTATTGAACAGGTAGAGTGCAACGCCAAGGGTGATCTATGCTATATTTTATCCGAAAATCTTGGGGATTTAGATCAAACAAATAGTTTTTGGTTATCATAAATCTAAGTAACTCCACATTGGAAACCCAGGGAAGGCCGGGCAGGTTGCTAGTCTCACATAAAAAAGTATGCTATTAGTATAAACCAGTCAACGATGGGTCGCGGCGCAATAATCTAATTATATTATGGTATGTAAATCCAAGCCGGGTTGTTTCTTCGCGAGCACCAGCAAATGGCATTCCTTGGCATATTAATGGTCAAACTAGACCAGTCTTAGCACTCGCTAGACGTGTGCGGCATTGCAATACGGTTTTTCTCCTAGGCTAGGCGTGGTCAGTTTATTTGGTTTCGTTTTGCATTAGCAATTGATATTTATAATTTTATGTTATAACGCTAGTTATAACGTGACGGTTTCGCGTTTTTATAGAATAAGGATGACAAACGCCTGATTGTAAGTTGATGCTGTGACCCATAGATATCTACATCTATCCTCAATTAAGAATCAAAATGTATATGCATTGTCACCCTTGACAAAAAACCTCACAGAAACGATATTTTGCGTGTTACTTTTTTGATTCCTTGCCCTTAGATTTTAATTTAATTTATTGCGTGACCATGGATACAGAGTTATTCAGTCGAAATATTAAAAGTTCAGCTTAGTTTGATGTGTATTTTATACACAAAATTTTATAATTATTTACAATATGTTGATGCATTATATTGCATCAACATATTGTAATTGTAATTTTTGAAAAATTTTGGCGACAGCTTAACCCACCGGACAGTTGAAGACGATTGTATCTCAAGCTGCCCAAGCGGATAAAAAAAACTTGAGAGTTATTATACACTTGTTTTGAAACGTTTCCATTAATAGTTCACATGCGCAGACATTTAATACACAAAATCGCACCAATTTTACGTATCCAAAATCTACACATATATTTTATTATATTATATTATTATTATTATATTATAAAGCGGAAAGATTTGTTTGTTTGTTTGTTTGTTTGAATTGAATAGGCTCCGAAACTACTGGACCGATTTGAAAAATTCTTTCACCATTAGAATCCTACATTATCCTTGATGAATATAGGTGATATTTCAAAAAGTTACGAATCCGTATGAAAACTTCGTTAATGTAACCTAAAATGTAAAAAAAAAAATACAAAAACAAATCCTTATATCGCGTATGGTGCGGAAACAATTGCTACAGTTTTATAGAGGATATCAATATCTACAAAAAGACCGCGATATCGTATGTCTAACTATTACAGTTATGTCACAATAACTACTTTTTCATGTTAAAATATGCAATAGTAACGCCGGTACAAACTAGGCCACATTATTCGTAGGTACCTTGGTATTAATCCTTATCTATACAAATAAATAAAATTGAAGTATCTGTTTGTAATATTAAAATAAAAGCTTTTTACGCGTATATGAAAGTATATAGGGTACTAATAACAAAAAAACAATGTTTAAAATTCTTGTCTGTTTGTTTCGGCTAATCTCCGAAACGGCTGGACCGATTTTGACGGGACTGTCACTGGCAGATCGCTGATGTTATAAGGAGTAGGTAAGTTTTATTTGAGAAAATGAATTAGGGTTGCGCGCAAAAAACTTTAAACCTATGAAATCGTAGTAAATTCCACGACGGCAAAGTCTAGGGGACAGCTAGTCAACTTATAAACCATTATATTATTATAAATGATAGCGGTTATTTTCCCGCCAAAACTCTTTCAGATCGAGAGGTGTCGATGCACTTGTGACATCAACACGACAACTCGTGATAACACTGATTGTTGTTTTTAATACATAAAATCGCACCACTTTAATATATGTCGTATAAATGATGCGCAGAAGCAACATTGGGAACAACATCTGTCGGCGGTCAGGTTCCCGCCAATAGTTTGTAATACCCGATTCCTATATTAAAGAAACGTTTCGTTGTCCATAACGATCCGTTTGTTACATACCGAGAACTATTCATTCAGCAACTTAGGATGACTGAACTGAAAACACTTCAATAAAGAAAACAAAGCGTTTTAAAATATAGAAACCCGGCACATACGAGTAAGTAAGATCGAGGTGTTACCTGCTGCATTTTGTCGAAGTCGAGCGCGGGCCGATGGCGACGTGGCGGCGGCAGCGCCACGCGACGACGCCGAGGCGATGCGCTTCCCTCCCCGCTCCCCGCGCCGCTGCCCGCGCCGCAGCCCACTCCACTACCCGCCCCGCTGCCCGCCACTGCTATAGTACCCGCCCCGCCAGCACGCCGTGGCTTGAGCGCCTCGAGCGGGGGCGACGTGCGGAAACGAACTGGGGTTTCAACCTGGAAGGGACACGGATTTTTCTCTATATTGTGATAAAGACCAAATTTCGGTCAAGGTAGCCCGTCACAACGGAGAGTAGTCATCCCGGAATTTCCCGGAAGATGCGCGAATTATTTTTTGGCTCATATCTAGTTTGCACGTTACTCAACATAAAATTCATTTTACTATAATATGCAATTTCGTTACAAAAATTCGCTTCCATTCCGTACCGCGGCAATGTAAATTGAGCCTTACATAATATACAAATCCGTAAGTTTTGTAAATAACGTCTCAACGAAGACTAACCATCTGCATTCTGCAGAGAACAGTATTAGTTAGCGCATGAGTAATTACTCTGTGATTATAGTGCACGTTCTCACTCACTCACATTGTCCTATGGGACGGCAATTCTACACGACCAGAGTGAAATCGGGTTACTTGCTTTCCGAAGCACGGGTGTGAAACACCGCGAACTTCCTGACTGACTCCAGCTATTGCAAAATTTCTTTACAGAAAAATTCAGCTGATTTCTTTGACCCGACCCGGAGTCCCAACAGTCACGTCCCGGTGGCGTGGTGGCTAAACGTTTGTCTGCTGATTCCAGACAGCACAACTGATCCGTTATCCATTACAGCCTATAAAAGTCCACTGAACATAGGCTTCCCTCATAACAGTATGGTGCACAGACAACTTATATTTGCAAAACACTTCCACAATCAAGGAAGTAATTCCGATATTCGGACTTTCTCGAGCGCATGAAGAAGTAGAAAAAGAAGATGGGCTGCAGAAGCCACTTGTTATCAGGTGGACTGTTAAATCGTTTATCACACATTTAAAAAAGTTGCCATGAAAAACTGGATACGACAAAAAACTGGGAAGAGTTGCCTGCATCCAGAGAAGCCTTTGAAAAACAACAGGATAAAAATAGACTTTTTTATAGAATAAAAAAAACCGGCCAAGTGCGAGTCGAACTAGCGCACCGAGGGTTCCGAACAAATCCGGAGGTATATAAGTATAAAAATATTAAAAATATTTTTATTATATGATGTAACAAAAAATTTATGCTTTTCGCAATTTTTCCTTTATCTGTGCTGTAATACGTTGCTTCGTACCAAATTTTAAGATTCTGAGTTCACGGGAAGTACCCCGTAAGTTTTGATTCCCTTGCGAATGTCGAAAATTTGCGGCATAAATGGCTGTATCTTTTGATCGCGTTGGCTTAGAAGTTTGATTTTTTCACAGCTTCAAGGGACAGTAGATTTGAGTATTTGATATGAATTTCAGCTTGATACCTCCACACGTTCCTGAGAAAAATGGTCTTGACAGACAGACAGACAGACGGACAACAAAGTGATCCTATAAGGGTTCCGTTTTTTCCTTTTGAGGTACAGAACCCTAAAAAGACAAACGAGCACCCAGTTCACCTGATGGTAAGTGGATGCTGTGGCCCATAGACATCCCCAACCATCCTCGACCAAGAACCAAAATGCAGATGCGTTGTCACCCCTGAGCACTATGCTGCAATGCCTCATCTCCAGTAAAAATACGAAACACAACAGCGTTAAGCTGCTATTTTAAGCTGGTATTCTGCCACGTATACTTGAATATAATCATTGTATATCTTGAATATATCAGATAAACGAAAAAAAAAAACGAAACGAAAAATGTTTTTTTACTTATGTGCTTCCTGCAAAAGCTCAGTCAGCCATGACAATTATGGCAAATTCTCCCAACGACCGTGGGAAGGTCTCATATACGGTATGCGGATACCACAGGCCAGGCAGGGCACTTGCATCGAACGAGAGCAAACAGAGTTAAATTCCTGGTGCCGGCGTCTGTGGAGCAGCATCGTTAAACGATGTTCCCTTTTGTAAATGTTCTAAATACTGACGTGTTATTATTAGTTTTTAAAGAATTTTCCTTAGCCAAATAAAACGAGCTGTAAATACATTCTTTAAATTTTGAAACAAGGTACCTTGTAGACTCGTGTGAAATGTAGCTTGACGTTATCCATAGAATCGATAAAAGTGAACCTTGTATTAAACTTTCTTTAACCAACTTCGAAAAGAAAGGTTCTCTGTTTCTCTCGTATGTTTAGTGCACAGTTTAGTTATTATGTGCGTGACTTCAAAAACTACACAACCGATGTTTATGATAATTTCACTGTTCTTTTTAATCTAAGTTGGTTCACATCAAAAACTACTTCAAGAAAGTTATAAAAGATTTTACCACTTTTTTATTAATCGCTTTTGTGTATTCCGTCTGTTCGGGTCGATTTTGAACTATGAGTTAGTGATTTGAAATTTTGAACTTAGCTTAGAATTGGATGACAATGTAAGAAGATGAATTACAGTAGTCGAATGGCGAAATCGAACCCACGACTTTCTAAGTTTGCAATCCGTACCCTTAACCGTTAGGATATAGTCGCAATGTGCGAGTTTCGTTGAATGTGACACGACAGTTATATGACAAATAAAAACTGAATGTTTGAAGTTGGTAATATATGAAAAGTAATGACTAATGAAATAGAACTAATGAAGTTACATCTAATAAAGTGAGAACAATTTTTTATAGAATAAGGATAAAACGCGAGCACACAGTCTACTGATAGTAAGAGGATGTTGTGGCCTATACACATCTACATTTATCTGCCGACTTCCAAAAAGGAGCCGGTACTCAATTCGACTGTATGTTTTTTTTTTCTCGTTTTTTTTTTTTTTTTATGTGTGTTACCTCAGAACTTTTTTCTGGGTGAACCGATTTCGATGATTCTTTTTTTATTTGAAAGCTGGTACTTCTCGTGTGGTCCCATATGAATTTGATCAAGGTCAGACCAATAGTTTTTAAGTTATTCTTAAATAACTTATATTGAAGTCGGCTGTACAAAATTTTTAATTTTAAATTATCCTCGATAAAAATTAAATGCAGATGCGTTGTCACCCGTGAGAACTAAGATCGTTACCAGTAAAAAGGGTCTTCGGTTCTTTACACTTAACATACGAAACACAGTATCATTAAGCTGCTATTTCATGCTGTTATTCTATGAAAGCGAGGTCTTACCGCGGTTAAGCCGACCTCTTACAGCAATCAAAATAAAGTTGCAGTGGCTCTACGACGTATCCATTTGTCCACTTCAGCCTTCAAAAGTCCACTGCTGAACATAGGCCTCTCCCATAGATTGTCTCATAGAGGGGACTTTGCTATAGTTGCCACGCTTCGCTGGCGGGGCGGCAACCGCAGTTTTTTATTATTTTGAGTTGTTACTAGGAAGATGCTGCTACCCATCGCCTGTTCCACACCCACGGGACGATATTTTTATCCAGCCACTACACACGATCACTACAACGTTCTAGCTTAATGAAAAATGAAACAATAAGTGGAAGAAATGTGGTTGAGGGAAATGGGGTCAGGGCGAACGGAATGTTGGTACCTTGGTGTCATCGTCGTCGGAAGAAGGTGGGCGTGCAGCCAGTTCGTCTGCGTCGAGGTAGGGCTGCGCCGGCCAGCGCCGCTTCTCGGGCGCGGCGCGCGCGGGCGACGAGGCGCCGCGCCGCCGCCCCTCCGCACGCGCCGCTCCCGCCCCCGCGCCCGCCGCTGCTCCTGCGCCGCTCGGCCCGCCGTTGATCACCTGCACCACAACATTTTTTTATAGAATACAAGTGATAAACTAGAATTTTGGCGGAAACTCAACTGTCGACGTTTTACCTATCGTAGATGTTGATATATAAAAATGATGCGATTTAGTGTATTGTCTGCGCTTGTCAACTATTAGTGGAAACGACGAAACAATTAATTCGATGTCGATATACACCTACCTCAAGTTATTAAGTGGCGAAGCTTGCGAAGTCACTTATTGATTTCACGATGTCTGTCCGTCTGTCCGTCTGTCCCACGATTATCTCGAGAACGGTTTTGAATTTTCAAATTCTGTTTTCAGCAATCGATTACTGATCACCCAGGCATCTGAACCTCCTATTTTGAAACTGATTGATCAACGGCAACCGTTAGAAACCGCTACAAAGCTGATGGCTTCGCCACTTTGCTATGCTGTTAGCTTGCTAGGTTTATTTTGTTCGCTTAGGTGCTGTCAAAGAGACACGTCAACACGACGTTCTATGTTTTCTCTCTTCCTTTTTGTACTTCTACATAAAAGGACGTGCTATCTATTAAACGATACATTTATCAAGTTCGTATTATTTTGAATTTCTAAATAAAACGTAAAACATATATGAGTTCTTGATCAAAGAACAAAAAGGGTAACACACAAGCGCATAGTCCACTTGATGTTAAGTGGATGCTGTGGCCCATAAACATCTATACATTTTATCCACGATTAAGAATCAAAATGCAGTTGCGTTGTTACCCCTGAGGACTAAGTTGGAATGCCTCGTTTCCAGTAAAAAGGGTCTGCATTTCAGGCTAGCAATTGGACATACCCTACTGCAACCTGAGCCTTTAGCACTAGTTAATGACTAACGTCTTCGTATCTTTGTCCTCCAGACCGAATTTCGGTCATGGCGGCCAGTCTCAACAGAGAGTAGCCAACTGCACAGCACAGGATTATATTATCCAAGTGTGTGCACAAGCACAAATTCATTCTACACCCTAACTCTTATAGTCCAATTTGATGGTAATTACGAATGTTCGACATTTTTACAGAAGGTTGAAACACCGCCTTTCTGTTTCCGGACTGCTAATGAGAATCCCTTGAGAGAAAACCCAATAACTATTTACTACAGATATATGGAAATATGAATGGCGTCCCTAGCGGAAGGAAACGGAACTATGTTTTGTTATACAAAGGCAGCGATGGGGATACCATAGAAAACTCATACTCTCGTATCTGAGCTCGCGAGCGTTTATATACAGTTAGGGTTGTCAACTTGTTTATACCAAATAAAATATTTTCGAGACTGTTTACCCCTACACATATAAGTACACGAAGATAGCAAAAATTAAAAATAAATCTATAATATGTATGTTTCAAGTTGTTATTTAAATTTTTTAAAGGAATATATTTTGCTTATCTGATCCTTTTAAGCAGATTGAATCCTTTAAAGCAGCTGCACGTCTTAATCATCCTCTATTGAAATATATCTGGGGGTACGGTAGTGCCCCCGCAAAGTCGAGCGAAAAAGCGGCACGGTGGTACCATCCTTTTCTCGAAGCAGTTCAGGCAGTTCATTGAATACCAGCGTAAAATAGCAGCTTAATGCTGCTGTGTTTCGTATGGTGTGTGTAGAGAACCGGAGACCCTTTTACTGGAAATGAGGCATTCCATCTTAGTCCTCACGGGTGACAACGCATCTGCATTTTGTTTGATGTCGATGTCTATGGGCCACAGCAACCACTTACCATCAGGTGGACTGTGTGCTCGTTTGCCACCCTTATCTTATAAAAAAAGACCATTTTCGACCCCCTATAATTCAGTTCAAAAATTTATTCATGCCCTACTTAAGGGTCCTTCTGTCTAAAGTTATTACGTAATTAGTTAACCTAACAACATCTTATAGTGACCATATCCAATATTAGAAATCTTTTATGTTTTAAATACATAGATTGACTTGGCAATCACACTAAACAATCTAATTGTACTCGTATTACTTGTGAGATACATTGTGTTTTCATGCGATGGCCAAGTCAATCTATTTATTTAAAACATAAAAGATTTTTAATATTGATATATGATATAAGATGCTGTTAGGTTAGCTAATTACGTAATAACTTTAGACAGAAAGACCCTTAAATAGGGACTGAAATTAACCGACTTGGTATTACATGGATCTCACAACTTTTTACGGTAGAAGAACTGACTTGTGAGACTTGGTTTTTTTTTACAAGTTACGTTTTTGATGGCATTAGTTTTGCCTCATAAATTTTTTTAATTATAGTATTTGGGCCAATACCATAATGGGATACTGTAATAGTAGGGTTGGCAACCCTATATACAACACCTTTTTATTCTTATTAATAAAAAAATTGGGCTTCCAGCTCGTAGTAGAATGGCCATGAAAATGGAAAAACATATATAAATATAAAAATTATAAATAAATGTCCATGTAGTATAATAAAACGAATTTATTGATATGGCGTGTATAAGCAATTCTTCAAGTAACTGAGTTAATAAAAAATCAACTATGAAGTATTTTCCTTTATAAAATCGCAGTGAATTACGAACTTATAGTACCGACATCAGGTGGTAACTGCCTACTACAATAATTCATGGATACTCGCAGTCAATTTTAAACAAAGAAGTATACAAACAAACAAACAGTGTAACTAAGTACATATATAGGTACTCCATTAAGTAACTGTTGGTCAAGTAATTAAATCATAAAACATAGTTTTATATATGTATAAAATTACGTTTTTGTCGTGATATGTCGTGATAGCGTTAAAGAATTCATGAGCCCGGGTGTGGATTACGTAAGAGGCGACCATGGGACATGCCAGTACCTGCGATATAACCATCTCGTTTACGCTAGACGTAAAATATCCAGATCATTATCAGACAGCAGCTTTAAAGGTCGCGTCACCAAAGTGGTTGCGTTGACGGCTTCTGCAAAGCGTGACGTGACATGACGTAAATATTCTCATTTGTTTGATACTGGTGGTAAGATAAATAATAATTATTATAAATGGGTATTTAATGATAAATTCGAAAATGAAATAATATTACAATTATTTTTATCACTGCATAATATTATTTAAGTAATATAAATTCTGTTTTGCCGTGAGAATCCGGCGGTCTGCGGAAGTTTCTCGTAGCAACGGAGCTAAATGGACGTGATTTTCTATGGCTATAAAAAGTGTAAAGCCATAAAAGAGTTGTGTAGTTATACAATCAAAGAGATCAATAATTGCTTTGAGGGTTTCAACAGCAACGTTCTGTTGTAGTTTTGAATTTGGAAAGGTTACCTAACGTGAATTATTTTCCATACAACAGCAGAAGCCAGATGCGTTTTAGTGTCCCGTGCTATAAATTTGGTAAAATGGAACACTAACGGAATCATTTCGGTGTCTATCTGTCTGCCACAGCAGTTTTCCTCTAGGAGTGTTTCGCGTAGATAATTGAAATTTGGCACAGATAGGGTTGACCAGGGATGATTGACTATAGGTTCAGGGCAGACAAAATGTTATCTCATCCAACTAGGCGCGACAAACCGTTTTCTTCTTCCGCTCAGTACGATTGTTTATTCTAATTTATAGTTTACTAGCTGACCGGGCAGACGTTGTTCTGACCTTTCCGTCGACCATTTGCTTCCCTAAAAAAACTTCTGAAATTAGCAATAAAAAATTGAGGGTCACTTATCGGGATAAAAACTATCCTATCTCTCAAGTTGGACCAAACTGGACACAGTGTGCAAACTTTCATTGAAATCAGTTCAGTAGTTTAGGAGTTCATCGCGGACAAACAATGTGACACGTAATTTTTATATACAAAGATTATGTATATTTGAATTGTCAGGAATCAAAATGTTGTGTCAATATAAACAATTATAATAACAAATACTTTATATAATTGTGTTTTATCGTATATATTCCTATAATGCAAACTAATTAATTATTATAAGACGGCTCCGTGGCATAGTGGCTTAGCAATGACTTGCAGCGCCTGGGGGCCGCGGGTTCAAACCCTGCAAGGTACAAGTAGTAGGTACTTTGTATAGCCTACTAATAATAGTTGCGGGCCTGGATGTTTCCCTGCGCAATTTATGTCTGTAAACTGTCTCCACAATACAGGAGAAAACCTAAAAAAAAATAAAAAATGCATCCAGTAAGCCTGGCACTCAGGCTGTGTTAAAGACAGGAAGATAAGAATGATTATTGTAAACGGCTATTACGTCTTGCTGAGACATTTTTACGCAAGCTGAGTACTGATGCAGAGGCGCAAAAACGCGGTCGCCTGCGCTATGTCCGGCGGCGCGCAGGAAGGCGGTATAACGGCGCACGCGCAGAAAAACAAGCAGCCTGTGCAACAGGGTTGCAAGCTCGTCTGATCCCAGGTCTTGAGATTTTGTAAATGGGTTTTAAGCAAACTGAACATTCTTTCAAGTACCAACCTTACTTGCTCTATGATTTAGTTGTTGTGGTTGCGATCTGTTGATTCTGATGAGGCTTTCGTGGCCAACTGATTTTTTATAGACTTTTTTTATAGGATAGGGTGACAAACGAGCACACAGTCCACCTGATGGTAAGTGGTTGCTGTGACCCATAGACATCTACATTTATCCTCAATAAAGAATCAAAATGCAGATGCGTCGTCACCCGCGAGGACTAACATAGAATGCCTCTTTTACAGTAAAAAGGGTCTCCGGTTCTCTACGCTGATTATACGAAACACAGCAGCATTATGCAGCTATTTTACGCTGGTATTCTGTGAGAGCGTGGCCCTTCCTGGGGCGAGCCGACCCATTAGTGCTACAACTATACAACTAATATAGCTGCAGCATGGCTCTACCACGTAGATAAAAAAAAGGGAAAAGCAAGAAAATGAGGACAGGAAGAGCTAATCGACTAAAATTAGCACATGTCATAAATCATATAATATATGGGTGACATTAATTTTTTTAAAACATAGCATCTGCGGATGCTTTAAGTGAGAAATATTATTATGTGTTCTGTGTT